TTGCAACTTTATGATCTTCGGCCTTCGCATTTTTGATCCTATTCTTAGGCCGAAGATCCCCAATAATAACACTTTTCCCTTTCTTTTTGTCTACATCAATAGGACTATAGGGAGAGGATCACTAACAGTTCCGGTCTTAGGCATAGATGTAACCGAAATTGTCTCACAAGTGACCGATGAATCATCAACCGGTCTTTTCTCCATCAATCTTGCATCTTTAAAATAATCATGAAACTCATGCTCCATTTGTGACCATGTAGAAATTGAACTAGGAGCAAGCAAACTATACCATGTAGATGCAAAGTTTGACAAAGAAAGGGGAAACAACTTCAACTTAAGCAAATTATCGCTACCGGCCTTACCACATTGATCAATAAAGCGGCCGATATGCTCCATTGTAGTTATAGCATTCTCACCTGTGAATTTCGTGAAGTTGGGCACCTCAAATCCTTGCGGGTATAGGACCGAATCTACATGTTCAGGATACGGCCTTTGATATGTATGCATAGCTACTTTGGATTCTATTTCACCACTATCCCGCAAGACATTGTCATTATCTTTTCTAACATCCACATGACCGATTTGTGATTCGGTCTTAGTTGATAATGCTATTTAACTTTCACTTGTGATGCAATCCGAACCATCATCTAGTTCGGCTATATCTTCAATGATGCTATTCTCTAAGCTATCAACACAATCCGAACCACCACTTGGTTCGGCTATTCCATCATTATCTAAACTAGTAACACAATCCGAACCGTCACTTGGTTCGGTTATTCCATCATTGTCTAAACTAATAACACAATCCGAACCGTCGCTTGGTTCGGCCATAATGGTTGTTGCATCATTATCCAAGCTAGCAAGATAATCCGAACCAACATTTGGTTCGGCTATAATTGTTATGGCATCATTGCACAAATTATTAACACAATCCGAACCATCTTTTGGTTCGGCTATACATGATATTGCATTTTCATCTAAACTAGCTTGTAAGCTATTGTCATCCACTCGGCTTTCCTGAGCCAGAGCTTCATGCAACACATGATCAATATCAAAAAATATCTGGCCATTCAATTTCTCTTTAATAGAATCAAGCAATCCATCATATGCAATGTCGGCCAAATCTTTGTCAGTTATTTTCAAATAGAAACATAGGTTTTTAACATCTCTAAACCTTTCAATATAACCAGCAACAGACTCATTGTATTTGTGCCTAACCGATGTTAGATTAGACAACTTAAGCTCAGTTTTACCAGTGCAAAAATGATCATGAAATTCTAATTGAGCCCAAGTATAAATAGAATTTGCCGGTAAAGAAGTAAACCATGTAAAAGCAGTACCGGACAAAGATAAAGAAAACAAGCGCAATTTAAAAGTATCACTATTAGCCTCACCACATTGCGCTAAAAATTGACCTACATGCTCCCATGTGGTTCTACTATCCTCAGCACTAAATTTGGTAAATTCGGAAACTCTATAATTACGAGGAAACGACACATTATCATAATAGTCAGGATACGACTTTTGGTAAACCTTAGCACGATTTCTAGTTTCAATACCGAATTTATCCTAATAATCCCACTAATTTTTTCCTCCATATTATCAGGCCTATGTTGATTTGGTGGTGGATTTGGTGTCCTAATAGGTTGTGTTTGCGGCGCAATATGGTTATATTGGCCTTGTCTAGTATCGGGAGGATACCCCCTAGCAACGTCATTATAAGCATTAGAAACATGTGGGGGAACTTGGGGACTATTTGTAGCAATAGATACAGGAGGATCGAATGTTCTAAGATGATACAAATAATCAGCATTAGTCATTGGATCTATTCCCTGTATCGGAACAATTGCGCCGGTCTGACCGGCCCAGGGCCCGGTCTGACCGGCATCATGATGTGCGGTCGGACCGGCCTGAGAGCCGGTCTGACCACCGGGGTAATACCCGGTCTGACCGGCCGTCTAGCCGGTCGGACCGACGGCTGTGTCGCGGTCGGACCGGCCGTCATGCCCGGTCGGACCGGCCGTGAAAGCCGTTCCGTCGGTTTTACTACCCGTTTGATCTATAGGAGGTTGATTAGCAGTGGTATAGGCTTTATCCTTTAATGTGTAATCATCCATAAGAGAACCGAGCCTACTCCTTGAAAACCCATCGACTTTATCCTTAAACATTACATCTAATCGATCTTTAAAATTAGCCATAGATGAATCTATTGTAGATGCAATTTATTGTTGGATAGATTGTGATACCTCGTCATTACTTACCACGTCGGGAGCGAGCTTGGGACGTGGCCCGGGCTTGATGATCACGCCTTGACGAGTCCTAGTGCACGCCCTCATCAACACCTCCTGTGTGATCTCCTTGATGTACTCCTCCATGGACTTACGGTCTTCTCCTTCAAAATCATCCAATGTGACCGGCATGATGTCGTTCCCGCTCATCATGGTTGATGAAGAAATTCCTTGATTAATTTCTGGCATATAGCTCATAGCCGAAATTGCTGACGGAATAAATTAATATACGGTCTTGATTTTTCCTTGTAAAAACAACCGATACAAATGAATCGGCTTTGAATTTTGTTTTTGGCGTACAGTAGTCTGGACCTTTTAGTAACTAATCGTGTGGATCTAGCAAAAAGTTGGAAAGCCTAATGACTCACAGAACAACCGATTGCAAATCTAACCGGCTTTGATTTATTTTTTCGTTTGGTAACTGTGTACTAGCAGATCGGTTTGCACAGAAGCAATCCGATTGTTGCTACTGTCGATGGCAAATACCGCCGAATCAAAATAATTCGGCAACAAAACCAAATCGATGATGGCTAGCTACAAACGTGTGCAACAATGATGTCAATCAGCAGATTGAATATGATAATGACGGCCGGTTGCTTAGATTAATTTGCTAGATGAGTATTTGCTAGATGAGTGGTCGCCGAATAGATTAATCCAGCGATAAATCAAAACACGATGACGACGTATTGATTGCAATTGATTGATTTCGGCCGGAGTAGCCGAAACTCTTAATTCAACCAAACAGTGGCTACTAGATTAAACGAAATTTGGCCGATATGGCTGATTAGATCGTTCCCCAGCGGAGTCGCTAAAAATCGTGTTGGCAACTTTTTGTGACAAGTCGACAAGCACGATCGCAACACCTAAACGCCTTGCGGTGATATGGAGTCGCCAACCACCTCGATCTAGCCAAAGGGCCAAATCAAGATGGGTTTTGTAGAAAAACAGCTAAACCGGCTAGCGGAGCCGATTTAGAGATCAAAATCAGCCTCTAGGCCGATTTAGATCGATATGAGGATAACTACCCGTCTCGTGGGCAAAACGGAAAGTTTTCAGGACAAACCTACAAAGAGGTGTCGCACTCTCGCAGCGGCGGCGAACGGTTTATAGCGCAAACCGACAAAGATGGACTAAAACTAGGGTAAAATAGAAAACATAGTAAAAGAACGATTCAAGTAGATTGTATTTCGGGGTTTACAATGAACCGGCCTTGTCCCTTAAATAAGGGTTGGTCATGCCCTCTACAGGCCCTTCTCCACATCCAACTCAGGGTAGAAACCAAAGGAAACACGAAACCTGCCTTCCCGAGTAAGGAAACCCGTCACTTTCCAAACTTTGGCAATTTTCACCTATTTCGTTCATATATAGGTGCCAAATTTGGGTGTAAACAAGGCCAATTCACTAATGCTAAGTACACTACATACTCTTGTATTTGTCTGGAAGTTTGCGTGCGTCACTGGCAGTTTGCAGAAATGAATCTGAATTGGGTTTTTGTGCCTAATAAACAAGTGCCGATTACCATGTGTGAGTTGCACTTGCACGCACCCGCTGTCTGGTTTTTCCGAGCTAAACATGTGTTGATTTCTAAATTACTTGTACTACTCTCTATTAATATTGTATCTATCATCTCTACTCTATAATTCACCAACTCATTTTACTTATCATCATCATTATTAGATAAATCTAATGGGTCTAAATTATCTGATGTAAAACCAACTATCCAGATCACTTGCCTCTCTCTCAATCACAGATCCAGATCGGCTCCCCCTCCCGGCCTCGGATGAGGCTCCTCTAACTTAAAGTTAGAAGGACACTGTCCCTACAGGGCCCACATGTCAGTGACAGTGTCCCTCTACTTTTAAGTCAGAGGAGCTCCTTCCCCCGGCCTCCCCCCGCGTCCCCAGACCCCACCCCTCCTGGCTTTGTACTTACATGCAGGAGCCGAAGCCAAATCCTAGGCTGCCTCTTGAGTTAGCATCAACGCTGCCGTATTAGAGCAAGGTCAATAAAAGAGCTAACTACTAGCTCCAAAAAAGTTTCATGTTATTAGGAGTTCACTTAGAGCTAACTCATACAACGAAAGGCTACAAGTTAGCTACAATCTATCCTTGATTAAATCATCGAAGTATTTAATATTTGCATGATCACAGCAACTAGTAGGATCAATACAAACCATCATCTCTATGGCCATTTTGGTGCACTGCACTGACTCACTCGTTCGGCCAGGACGCCGCCGCAGCGGTGCGGTGCAAGAAACGGACTCACGGGATCGGCTGGGAAAGCGTGGGCCCCATAAAACGTGTTTTCTTTCGTCAAGAATGGCTACAGGTAAGCGGTAGCGCATGGGAAGAGCTGCTAACGCCCGGCGCTAGAACAAGCGCTCGCTCGTTTCTCTCCCTTCCATTCTCTCCCCTTAATCCAGGATTAGGATGGTGTGAGAAAATCCAGGGTTCTGGGATTCATTTGCATAAAAAATTCGGGCATGACCGAAATGGACGAAATTCGGAATTTTTGGAAAATTCGGACAAATTTTGACTGAAATTATTGCAATTTTTGAAACAAACCACCAGAAAACTAAGAAAAATAGTTAGAGGATTTTACGAGCCTCAGCACACATGTAGAATAACAATATTAATGTAAATTTTAACACAGTCATCAGAAGACTAGGTAAAATCATGGGAGAATCATTCAAGCATCACCTCACAAGCAAAATAACCATATTAGCACATCCAAGCTCATAACAACAAATGCAATTATGCAGTCCAAACAACCAATTGACAACTGCATATCCATAGTCCTAATAGTAAGTTCATAGTCATAACCACATAACTATAGTCGACAAGTCTAGTCATCACTCCATCAGAGTCCAAAGTCTAAAATAATTACAGTCCAGCCATAGGTACACCCAAAAGAATTACATCCATATACCAAAAGAAAGGTCAGCTATCAAATGTCAATTGCCAGTGGCATCATGCATTTTGATGGTGTCTAACCATGACGCCGAATCATCATCTATGCCGCCAAACAAAACACCGAATCATCATCTATGCCTCCAAAACAGTACTCCATACTTGCTGGACTGTACCTGAACATCTTGCATAAAACATAAAGAACATTTATTAGTAAATCAACTAGATCAATCGACTGGTAAATGGTATGATAAGTACAATATGCTCAGCTTGGCTGATGTCAAACCAAACACAATCAGATTGAAAAATAATTTTATAGGCCACCAATGATGACGAATTTCAACAATTACCACAACCCCTAGTGTTCAAAGGTTAAAAATACTGCAGATATAATGGATGTCATAGTTCACTCAATCAGATCAAACAATTCACATAGAAAATTACATAAGCAGAAGAACAATAACTCATGATGATATGTATTATCATTTCGAAGAGTAATGTACTTAAGCATGAAATTGTTATGATCAGCACTAGCAAAAACGATGAACAGAACATGTACCTTACAGAAGTGACGTGCTACTCTCGTTGGTAGAGGCTTTGGATCATTCTCTTCTTTCGCTTGAGTCAACCAGATCTACCTGAAGCTTCTATGTCTTCTTCAACCCTGGTTGAGGTTCCCATAAGCTCGTCACCATTGTCATCATTATTAGCATTTAGTCCATCAATACTAACATCATGACCATTATCATCTTCAGCACCAGATGAGGCATCATCGAATTCAACCTCTTCCTCTCCATCTTCACTTTCCTCAAACTCAATTTCCTCATCCTCCTTATCCACTCTTGACCTCTTTCCTTTCCTGTTACCACCAGCAGAAAAATTCCTCTCTAAGCTTTGATATATTCCATTCAAAGAAGGACCTACTTCATCCATAGACTTATCCAACTAGTCCCATATTGGATTTTCCTCATCAAATACTGCAGCATCCAACATCATAGCACATGGATCAACTTCCTTTAGTTGTCCACTCTCATTCTCTTGGATGCGTACTTTCAAGCTATAATGAACATATACAAGCTTATGTAGCTTGTCATAGCCTAGACGGTTCCTAATCTTCGTATGCACCAATGCGAAAGTGCTCCGGTTTCTCCCACAGCCACTGGATGACACACATTGTGAAACAATACGCGGTGCATACTTTTGTAAAGTAGGAACTTCTCCAAATTGGAACCACCAAGCACCTGCCAAATTAGGAACAAATGTGCCATTTGATTAAATTACCAGCAGCACTACAAATCAATATTGATTGAACAGAAAGAAGAGACACTTGGTATGTACTTATTAGGGTGAAAACAAGTAACTTTGAGCTTCCATATTGCTCCATAATTACAGATACAAGTAATCTGTAAGACAAAAAAAGTACATCTTGCTTCATATTGCTCCACTTATATCTTTTCTACTCCCCCCGTTTCACGATGTAATTCATTCTACCATTTCCCACATTCATATTGATGTTAATGAATCTAGACATACATCACTATGAATATGGGAAATGCTAGAATGACTTACATTGTAAAACGGAGGAAGTATAAGACAAAAAAGTACATATTTTAATCAAGTCACTATATAAAGCCAATGCAAATTTTTTCCATTCTGGATAGTTTTCAACAGCAAAGAGATAATCCATATGAACTAACATTTTAATTACAATTTCTTAAAATGCTTAAAGATAGAACTAAGGTAAGATTAGATTACTTACTTGGGGACATAGATGATGCTCCAGCACGTGCCACATGCCGATTAAACCCGGGAATGCTACTGGGCGAGCGATCGCCCTCGCTCGCCCAAAGCGATCGGTTTTACGCCCCCCCCTCTTCCCTCTCTCCACCTCTCCACCTTGTTTCCTTTTTTGGCACCGCATTACTTTCCTATTTTAGTAAATTTATACCTCTAAAGTTTACACATCTAAAGTTTAGAGACCAAAAATTTATAAGTCAAAAGTTTATATATCTTATTCAAATTTGAATTTGAATTCAAATATTTTTATATTTATAGTATTTCTATACATCTAAAGTTTATACATCTAAAGTTTATACACCTAAAGTTTATAGACCTAAAGTTTATAAGTCAAAAGTTTATATACACGTTTCAAATTTGAATTTGAATTCAAATATCCGATTCAAATTTAAATTTGAATTCAAATATTTTTCATATATAGTATTTCTATACATCTAAAGTTTATACACCTAAAGTTTATAGACCTAAAGTTTATATACCCGATTCAAATTTGAATTTGAATTATATTTGATTCAAATTTGAATTTGAATTTAAATATTTTCTATATATAGTATTTCTATACATCTAAAGTTTATACACCTAAAGTTTATAGACCCAAAGTTTATAAGTCAAAAGTTTACATACCCGATTCAAATTTGAATTTAAATTCAATTTTTTTATATACAGTATTTCTATACATAATTTTTGCTAACTTTTATTTTTCAGAAAAATTTGTGTAGTTTACTGTAGTAGAAAGAGGAGAAGGGGGAGGAATAGGGGAGAGGAGGGAGGAGTATAGGGGGAGGGGGGCCGGATCCGATCGCCTAGGCGATCGCCTGGCGATCGATCGCCCATTAGGGCCCCCCGATTAAACCTCCCAATGCACTCCAGAAAATTCACTGTCATAGTTTAATTATCTTTCTAGTCATAGTTTTTATCTCTATTTTTTCTTCAAATAAGCTTATAAAATTTAATATGTTTATCTGATTATGACAATATATATATTTTTAGAAAAACCTACATAAAACATTTTTATATTTGGAATAACTACTTTAGAAGATGTTCATGGTTAAATTTTTAAAAGTTTGACTAAACATTATCCAAAACACTATCTTTCTTCGATCGAGGGGAATAACAAAATGCTTAAAAATATTGTATCCAGAGTCTTGACTGTCTAGTGGTTGAATAGATAGCTCAGTACAATAATTTTTCGGGACGGGACAATGTTTTACTTCATGCACGCACGCGACAAAGAACCCTTAATTTTATTTGTCCTCGCCTAAATGACTTGCACTGTCATCTTGACTTGGGGTCAATGTTTTTTTCTAGTACCAGTGAATGGCGCGCATGGAGTCAATGGACGCCGATTAACCTGTATTCATGGTCAGTACAGATATTTTTGAGGCACGTGTCTCGATCGATCTATATGACTATATGTACTTTGTCCCTACGAGAGGCACGATGCCGTAGCTACTTCCTAGTTTCTAATGAACACGCTCCTCCAACCATTAAATCACGTGTTTTTTCAAAAACTTTTTAAATGTAACTTTTTTAAAACGCTAAATAAACCCATGTTTAAGTTTTAATAGTTAATATTTCATACGTTAATTATTCGTCTCGTTTCATGCATAGTCAAATAATCTCAAGCCAGCTAAAGTAGCTGGGTCGAACACAGTAAATGAGCCTTTTACAATCCAGGCTCTACCTAGCTAAGAGATGATAGCCTCGACTATATTTTTTTTTTAACTCATTTTATAATCATCATCGGCCGAGGGACAATTTATCTAGAGTTTGACATTATTTCTTGGAAATATAAGCAATTAAGAAATAAAGATGGCAAATCATGATAATATAAGCGTAAACCATAGAAATATTATTCTCAACCGCACGGGTACGCAAAACAAACATGATAAAGTTGTAAACCATAGAAACAAGCATGTGCATATAAACGCAATCAACAGAAAAAGGAAGAAGAGGAGAATAACATATGGTGCTGCAAACGGTGGTTGCGATGGTAGCGGAAGAAGAACACAGTTGCCGGTCCTGCCATTGCCTTTTCTGTTGCTATTCCCACCATTGTTGTTCCTGTTCTGATCACCACCAACCATGATAAAGAGGAAGTAGTCAATATAGTCATACTCAGGCACAAGCGAGCAGTTGCATGATGTGCTCCCCAAACCTGATTCGCCTCCTCTCAGTGCAAGATCAAGGAGACGGGGGTTTCGGAGACATGCTCTCCCAGTGTACTCTTCCAGATGGGATCACCCTAGCAGCAATAAAAGTGGAATTGGATGTAAATGTGTATGTTCTATATCACGGGAGATCAAATTCATTCTTGTTTTAGAGGAGAAATGAAAGATGAAGGATGGGATCACCCTAGCAGTAATAGAAGTGGAATTGGATGTAAATGTGTATGTCCTATCTCACGGGAGATCAAATTCATTATCGTTTTAGAGGAGAAATGGAAGATGAAGAATAAGAGAGTCATGGAATAAGAATAGAAACAAAGCACCTAATTATCATCAACTAGCCATCAATTATCCTCCACTACACCACCATCAACCAACCATGTAGTCCCTCCGTCCTAGAATATAGCAACCTAGGACTGGATGTGACGTATCCTAATACTACGAATCTGGACATGCCCCCTCTTCAGATTCATAGTGCTAGAATACATCACATCCGGTTCTAGGTTACTATATTTTAGGACGGAGGGAGTAATTGATATCAGTTACCAAATTCATTAATCAAATGGATTAATTCTCAAAACTCATGATCTTTACCATTGCTATCTCATAAGAGAATGAATACACATAAACTCCTAGCATAATGAGCCTTGGAATTTATTTGATTTAAATGGATCAAATACACAATTAAATCTAACATTATTCGCCAACTTTAAAATTCAAAAACTATTTTGGAATTGTTGAAAACTTAATGGCTTTAATTAAGCCACGTATATATATGGGAATGAGGTTTTTTTGCCTGATTCCAACAGGAATTCAAGTATATAATGTTGTCAACATCGTGCAAAATTTATTTACAGCATTAATTCCAGAAGAGATCTTAGTAGTTGAAAACGATGAGTGGCTTCAAAGTTCGGTTGAAATAAAACTGGACTTAATCCTTAGCTGAGATTGTAAAAATAATTTATCAAAACAGAGTGAAATGTTCAATTATTACGAGATTAATACTAGGTAGTTCCCTAGAACACATATGCGGCAGTTATCAAATAAAAAGTTTATAATAGCTAAAACATAATTAATGATGTATTAATAATATTTCTTAATTGTAGTTCGATATAAAAGTGAAACGAACTTTCAAACTGAACCTAAATATGCAAGGAGAACTACCTAGCGCAGATGCGCGAGATATTTAGCTCGCTCACGTCTTTACGTCAGCCTACGTCCGCATGTTTTCTTTTTCTCCTATGGTTTTTCGAGAATTATTTTCATCCAAGTTTTTCTACACTCACTGGTGGAGAAACCATCTTTGGTCGGTCGGCCAAAATCCACAATAGTTCCGGTTGCAATAAAAACCGGGACTAAAAATGATCTTTAGTCCTGGTTAAAAACACCACAGCTAGTTTATGATCTTTAGTCCCGGTTGGTGACATCATCTTTACTCCCGGTTCATCCCGTGTCAGTAGTCTGTCAGGGGGCCGAGGATCTTTAGTCTCGGTTGGTGACACCAACCGGGAGTAAAAATCATCTTTATGGTCCCGGTTGATAATACGAACCGGGACTAAAAATTATATTTATCTTTAGTCCCGGTTAGTATTACCAACCGGGACTAAAAATTTAATACGTAGTATATAATTCCTATTCCCTTATCCTCTCCTACACTTCACAGATCCGTTCCACTTCCTCTTCACAGATCTAACTCCTCCTCCCCTTCTCTCCTTCCTCCTCCCCTCCTCACTACCCATCCGCCCCTTCTCGTCCCCTCCTCCCTTCCCATCCGATCCGGTGGCCGGCGGCGGCGGTGCCGCGCGGGGCAGCGGCCATGGCGGGCGGCGGTGCCGTGCCCGGCGGCGGCCGTGGCGGGCGGCGGCGGTGCCGCTCGGGGCGGCGGCCATGGCGGGCGACGGCGGGCTGGCGGGCGGCGGTGCCACGCGCGGCGGCGGCCGGCGGGGCCGCGCCCGGCGGCGGCCGTGCCCTCTCAACTGCCGGCCGTCTTTTCTTTTTTTTTTTTTTTACAATTTGTGATTGATTGAGATGTGTAATTTTGTGATTCATTGCATGGATATGAGATGTATAATCTGTGATGTATTTGATTTGTGTGTATTTTTTAGGATTTGTGATGTATTTGGTATGAGTGTATTTTGTTAGCATTTGTGATGTATTTGATTTATGTTTATAAGTAACTTAATATTTGGGATAGATTTGGGATGTTACTTTGAACTGGGGATTTGGGGATTGATTTAGGGATATACATGGCACTAGATTCGGGAGAAAATATAGAGATTAAATCTGGCAAAAGAAAAAAAAGCGCTACTCTCTCTTTAATTCCGGTTGGTGTTATCAACCGGGACTAAAGATTTCCCGGTTGATAACACCAATCGGGACTAAAGATCGATCTTTAATCCCGGGTATTTGAACCGGGACTAAAGATAGCGATCTTTAGTCCCGGATTCGTACTCCTGATTGGAAAACCGGGACTATATGGGGTTTACCAACCGGGAGTAAAAAGGCTTTCTCCACCAGTAACTACTAAAAAAACTGGATTGGTGCCGGCTGGGAACCCCCGTTAGGTGTTGGATTTCCTAACCGGCACCGATGCTTTCATTGTTTGGTAAAGCCCGCATATGAAAATTTATTTTCACTCGCAGGTTACTTAGGAGGGCGCATGTAACAAATAGTCTATTTTCGAAAATGGCCCTCTTAAGTGGTACACACGTGAAAATATCCCCCGCTTCTCCACTATGTTTTAACTCCTATCTTTTTCCTTCCTCACCACTTTAAAATTTTTTACCTCCTCTCCTCTCTCTCTCTCCTCCTCTCCTCCAAGCAGGCCGTGACCGGGCACCACTGCCTCCACCGACGAGGAGGCAGCTGGGAGCAGGCGGCTTCATCCCCGGTGCCGCCACCGCCATGATGATGAGGAGGCGGCCTGATCCGCCGCTGCTGCCATAGGGATCTAGGGTTTTGTTTTTTTTTCTTTTTTCAGATTTCTCTTT